GTATATGGAGGTGTTTCAATGAATCTCTCGCTCTGTGCACTAACTTGTGTCTTGAGCAAGGAATTATTTGAATAGTGTCTGTCCACTCAGGAATATAAAGGGTATCCCACCAAATTAGGCATGTGAACCCAATGGTAATTCGACCCAATGACCTGGAAAAAGCCCTTCTTGTTTTAAAAGAAGGGCGCAAATATAAATTCAACTTTTCAAGCAGCTTTTCGCAGGAGAGGGGATGGCTTGTACTCACGGTCAAAATAGACTTATTACAATGTTTACAGTGATTTATTTGATTTCTATTATTATTTATTTTAAGTATTTTAGCAAAAAGAAGGCGTATGTTCGTAAAAAAACTATAAAATTTTCGAAAAAATAATTATGAGAACATTTCCTTCAATACCACATTTTCTATGATGGTTGAAGCTTTGTGACGAACGTCCTAAATCACGTACGTATATAAGTTAACAAAGACACGCCCTTAGAGACTAAGTTTACCCCGTGCAGCAGGAAAATCCAACATGATTATGACAAAAAAAAATAATTGCAACTCGTGAATTTCTTTCTTTTTTAAATTAAAAGCTCGTAATCAAAATTGCTTCAACTTAGTAGTATGGTTTTTAGTAAAAAAAAATATTTTCATCCAGTTTTTGAATTCTGTTAGACTTCAATTATTTTTTGACTCCATGTGGGTAAATATTATAATTTTCATTTTATGAAATTTAATCTAAGTTATATTAACGCAAATGTTGTTTATAAACTCACCAATCGGCCATGTTTGTTTTGGTCACGTGGATAACTTAACGCTGATTAACGCACTCTGGTTTACGTTAATTTTCAAATCAAATCAACATTTATTTCTTTCACAATATAACGATAAAAAAAATTATTATTAACAAATATTTAAGGATTATATATATATACACAATGTTTTAATAAATATAAATTAAATGGAAAGAGGCATTTTCGTTGTTTTCGAAGTCTATTTAACCAGTTTAACGAACCAGTCGAATGAAAATAATAATCAACGAAAATTCGTACTCAACGAAATGAACCAGTCGAATAAGCCCAATAAACGAGATTCTGCTTAACATTACCGTCGTTCAACAAAACACGCAAGATACATTAAAGGAGAACGTTATTACTTAATTTAAAAAAAGACAAGAAACTTGTCCCGAAGAGAATGTCAAGAACATTAGCTTTAATCTTGGTAAATCGGATACAAGGTATCATTTCCATATACATTTCATTCAGGTATGATAAGACCCATGACTTATTCATGTGGCTCCTGGCCAGATGGGAAAAGATTTCAGATCCGATGCAACAAAATCTCTCAATGATCTTTAAGACAAAAGCGAAATTATTTGTAAGAACTGGTCTAAATTGAATTAATCTGGGGCCCAAACATGGTCTTTTGAGGATTGGTCTGTTTTATATGTTTGTTATGTCTTGTGTTTTGCTCGTTGACTAGTTTCTTGCCCAAGTTTTGGTTCTGTAGGACGTAGGTCATCATTGATCAAAATTTATACCGGTACGCTTTAAGCTATACTTATACCTACTTTAACGGAACGGAAGACGTGTGTTCCAATCGGTTTCTGAGCGATCGTGCCTGTTCCGTGTTTTGTTTTGTTTTCTTTTGTTTTTAATGGATGTACATATATTTAAATGAACTGCCATAAAACAACATTTTCAAAAACTTGTGAATGTTTCAAGTTTTTCAACACAGTTTCGATTTCACTCACGAAACGGGACACTTCTGAAGCTTTAGGCATGTATTCGCTTATTGCACTTCCTGATTTCACCCTCCAAAAGGCACTACCGCCAACCTGCATACTTATTTATTCATTTGTTCTTTATACTGGGTTACCTATTCAGTAAAATGTTACTGTTCTCTGAGAGGGCCCAGATTATAAATTGTAAAAATGTAAACTGTTTCTATGGTCTCATAATACTTCGTATAACATAGTTAGACGTTACCGGTACCTTTTCCATTTGATCTTTTAATGTTGTTATATTGTTGAGTTCATTTATATAATTTCCTCCTGTTTTTTGTATTGATTGTGACAAAAACATGGTCACAAGAAGCTCTTGACAACAACAAAAAACAAAACAAAACAAAAACACACAAACAAAACAAAACCAGAGTAGCACACAACTTGCAATTTGATTCAAACTCAATCAGACACACACCATAGTCACATACAAATCACTTATTGAAGAATCGTCGATCTGTGGGTGTCGTGAGGCACCATTGGTCTAAAAGTTTAAGATTCTCTTCTATATCTTAAGCATATATATTATAGGCCTGTAATATCTTGACGTTTCTTGAAGTTATTTCTAATTCCAAAATTTCCGACTTCATTAATCTCGTTTGAGGAATTGAGGAGCCCTTTTAGAAGTTTATCAAGAACTTGAAGGAATTTTTTTGCTATTTTATTTTTTATTTATTCAATCGTCCAACAGGACCAAGAAGGTCCCACTTACAGGCGAAGATTGTAGTAAAATATTTCTATGTACAATATAAAAATATAAAATATTTAAAATTCATCAAATTATTAAAACATTGTAGAGTTAAATATTACATCGATTAAACACATAAAAATTACGTAAGATAATTATTTAAATGACATTTAAATACATATAAAGAATTAGAAAATATATCAACATCAGGACATTTGGCAACAAAATCATTATATAAGCTAGACAGACGCGAAATAAATCCATTTTTACATACATTAACACGGCAAAAAGGAACAGAAAATAATTTTTATTTATTTATTTTAAAGTTTTAATTAAATTGTTTCATAAGTAATTGTAATTTCAGTCTGGTATTTTTCCACATAGACCTTTTGTTTTATTAACAATGAATGTAGGCCTACGTGGTAATTTATAACAATACCTCAAATAAGAAGCCCTGGGCTTCTTCTTTTGTTTGTTTGTTTGCTTGTTTTGTTTTGTTTTGTTGGGTTTTTTTTTTGCGAAATTTAGATGGGCGTCTTTTCAAGGCTAATATTGCAAAGTAAAGAAGGGGTCTTCTTTTCAAAATGAATGCTGTCAATTTTTGGAATTACTACTATAAAACAATAAATAGGGCCACCGTACTGTAACATCAGTCTGTATCATGGAGTGTATTCACGGCATGAAATCACCTAAAGTAGGCCTACTACACAAACCAAGCGTGTTTTTAATTTACTTTGTTTTCTTGAAAATTATGGTCAGTGTAGGCCTATGTACGATACTGTACTATCTCGAAAACAAGTCCATGCTATCTTGAAAAGAAGGCCATGAGCTTTTTTCGAGATGGGCTTCTTTTCGAGGCAATTTCGCAAATTAAAGAGGAGATTCGAGATGGGCTTCTTCTTGAGATTATGCCCACTGGGCAGGCTGCTATTCGAGGTTTTACGGTATATTGATTGATATATTTTTTAAATACTTGTGCTCATTAAAAACGAATGATATAACTTCTTGGCCTTGTAAACATACAGATTACGATCATTTTACTGGTTGTATCTGGACAAACATTATCGTAGCAAGTAATTACATTCGTTAATAATGACAAGCTTTCTTAATTAGTGAATCAGTAATTGGATGCTAGATCATTACAGCCTAATTACACATAGCTTATGTTAAAAATGAAAAGTGTTCATAATTTTTGGCTTCTGAAAAGAAAAAAATGTATGTGTATAATGATCTTATTGTGAAAATCCGGAGAACAAGTTATTTGTTTTGTGTTGAAAACAAGTGCAAAGTTGGCATAGCTGCTATAGGGTTTCCCTTGTTATCATCGCGATTTATTTTGAGGCATATGACCTCGCATATGATATAGGCCGGCCAATGACTGATTGATATAATTCCATATTTCACCTGATAAATTCAATTAAATTAGATTATTTAAAAAAAAATACTAATTACATTTATTTATTTATTTGATCAAGGCATTCATGAAGCTTCTATGTTTCACTTCAAAAAGCTATTTGTAGGTCTATATAAAAATACATCTTTTGTTGGTAGGTCCTACAACACACTGACTTTTTTTTTTAATTGTGACTTTTTAACCTGGACTCAACCTGAAATGTCTTGGATACATAATATTGATTT